TCCCAAGTTGGGGATTGGGTTATCCCATAAACGGCTCCTGGATGCGCAGATCTTCACATTTCAGGAGCCCTTTAGAGCTGTTTTCATGTACCCCCACCTCTGCCTTTACCTCAAATTTACGTCCCTCCGACGGGGTTTCGGTGTAGACGTCCGAAACGGGCACGGGAAAAGCAGGCACGATGGCCAACAATCAGTGCTGTCCAAAAACCCAGTGCGGCCGCTGTTGGGCAGGCGGCCTTCCATCTCAAATAGACAACGTGTGACGGGGGTTAGGGCGAGGATCAATATGTTCCAGAACGTTCCAAAACGCTCTCAGAGCGTTCCGGAACATTTTGAGAAGGCCGCGATCCTCCAGATTCGCCAGATTTCAGAGATTCCCGACTTTTCCTCACCCGCATTTCTCCTCCTCCTGGCTTCGTCATAGAACGCCCGCGGTGACACCGACAGCGAGCCGTTCTCAAAGTGGATTGGAATTCCTGTTCGTTTCGGTCATAGCGATTTGGGGAGCCACGCCTGGAAAACATCGCGACTCGGCTGTCTGCGTACTCTTCCATCCCGAGGATCCCAAGCCCTCCCCCTCATTCTTCTGGACCTTCCGCCCCAACCTTCCGCCCACTTCTCGATCGATCTACGTGGGATTCCTCGAATTGCGTAAGGTCTGTCCATGGATTTCGATGATCTGTTCCGCATCTTCTGCGGAGGTCGGAAGGTATGGAAGGTGCAGGTGGAGGGAGTCTGGACCAGCGTTACGTCGGGCCTGTCCCCCTACAGGGGAATTTTCGACGATCATGTTTTCTTTAATCCAAAAATAGTCTGGGGACCCTTGGTTGAGTATTTGTCTTTGCCTTTTTGGGCTATTGCTGGGGTATTTTAGATCTTCCGTCGAAAATTCCCCGCAGGGGGGACACGCCCGACGTAAGACTGACGCAGCCCAGGCCAATCCCGGGCCGAGGCCTGCCGGCCTGCCGGGGAGGACGGCGCACGGCCGCGGCCCGCAAGAGGCCTGGGGTCGTTTCCAAAGGATGCCTCGCAGCTTTTCAGAGCCCAAATATCATCAGGGGTAACTCGGGTCAGGGCTAACTCGGGTTCCTTTTTCGGGAACCCAAGCCCGAGTTACCCCGGACCCGAGTTACCCCGGACAACTCGGGCGCCCAAGCTTTGCCTCGCCGACCCATCAGGGCCGCCTACGATTAAGGCGGGCGCGTCCCCCTACAGGGGGATTTTCGACTAAAAAAGAGCCTCTTCAAACATACCCCCAAAGGGCAAAACAAATACAAAAAAAATAGTTCCCAGGCTATGTTTGAATTATTGTTTTAGATGTTTTCCATTTTTTGTCGAAAATCCCACTGTAGGGGGACAGGCCCGACTTAAGCCTACGGGCCATCGATCCGATTCGATGCGACTCGATTCGCTGGCTGGGGCCGCGATTACAATTCGATGCGATCCGGTTCTATTCACAGGCATCGGCCAGGGCCAGCCGGAAGCGGGGCGCGGCAATTCGATACCGATTTGGTTCGGGACGATTAAGTCGTTGGCGATTCGATCCGCTCTTGACCCGATCTGATCTCGCGATCCGATCCAGCGCAGACCTGCCCATCCTTTGCCAATGCCGTGACTTTCTCAAGGTGTGCGAAGACTGCTCGGTCCAGGGGGTGCTGCATGCTCACCCTGCGTCCTTGCACAGATCCTGGGGCCAGGGCTGGCCTGGCAAGGGACAGGCGAGCGTGCGCAGCTTTCAGGAGGGGAAACACACAGACACAATCAGTCGTCAGCTCCCTAGAAAATATGGGAACATACGGGAGGGGTGGGGGGTGTCGAAAACCCAGAATATACGTGTATATATCTGTATATATATATATATATACATACATGTATATGTGTGGGGGGGGATCCTGGGATTTGTGTGTATTTCTTGGTGTGTCCCTGGGCCCCTTCAAGTTTGCAGGCTCTAGGGCGCATTGTGATGCTGCCGTGGCGACCTTCGCCTGGCGGCCAGGGTTCTGGTGAGCCGGCGCGGAGGGCTCGGACGGTTTGGGTACCCCGGAGGTCTCAGATCCTCGAGGGTGTGTGTGGAACTGGGTGGGGGGAGCTCCGGGGGGAGGGGAGGGGAGGTTCGAGCCCGGGGAGAGTCCTCCCCCGTGAAGTGCACAGGGGGGGGGCCGACCGGGGGCAGAGGGTGCTCTTTCCCCAGTGGCAACCGACGACGGCGAGCGCGGGCGCCGTCGAGCAGCGACGACGACGACGACGACGCAGGCCAATCGAGCCAAGGCCCAACATTCGAATATGAGAAACCGCACAAACATAAACTTTTCGCGCTCCGCGCGGTTTCTTGGATCCGCGCCTTGGCCCCCCCGGCGGCGCCTCCGGCGCCGCCCATGGCGCGCTCCGCGCGCCAGGGAGGGGGACCCGGCGGGAATTCAAGAAATCCGCGCGGAGCGCCAAAAAATCATGTTTGTGTTTTTGTGTTTTTTTTCTTCTACGAGAATCTTCGTCAATCGAGCCAATGCCCAAAACGGTCCGCTCGCCCAGACTCACCTTCCTTCGGCTCAAGTCTGACCCACCCCCACAGCGTTGCAACCGGAGGTCCACTTGGGACACCGCTGGGGGTGCCAAGGGGATACGGGGTGCTATGAGTGAGTGCCAAAGTGGGTTGTATCTGGCCGGACCCAGCTCACAAGTGGGCGGAGACCATTTGGCTCGGGGGCGGAGCCCATTTGGCTCGGAGACCACCGGGACGCCTCCGTCCGCGTTTGCTGCGTGCCCGAAGTTCAAAGCGTGAAGACGTCGTTCACCTCCCGCTCCGCTCCGAAGGGTGGTTCGCGGGCGGGTCGCGGGCGGGTCGCGGGCGGGTCGCAGGCGGGTTGCAGGCGGGTTGCAGGCGGGTTGCAGGCGGGTTGCGGGCGAGGATGACGACAATAAGAAACAAAAAATCAACAAACGCGGCACAAATGGCAAGAACATGTCGGAGGCCCCTTTGAGGCTCGCACCTGGGAATGGTGTAAGCCCGCTCGGGCCTTTCACTCTGATGTGTTTTTTGGTTTTGATCTTCTGGTCGCCGCGACCTCTCATCGGCGTCCCCCCAACGTACTAATACTATGTGTGCGTCGCCCCCCCCCCAAAGGGCGACGCGCGCGCCGAGAAACTTTGAAGTATAGGCTACATGGAGGGCACTTTCTGGCCATAGCGCCCAGGAAACGGTACCGATACGGCCACCCAAGAACCAACTGATGGCAAGTGGCAAGTGTGATGGTTATAATGACGACGATGCTGGTGATGCGCCCTCGACTTGGCGAGGACGTGTGATGATGATGATGATGATGATGATGATGATGATGATGATGATGATGATGCTGATGCTGATGCTGATGCTGATGCTGACGATGATGATGATGACGATGATGATGATGAGTGAGGATGATGCTGATGATGATGATGATGATGATGATGATGATGATGATGATGATGATGATGATGATGATGATGATGATGATGATGATGATGATGATGTTCGCAAGGCACTGGGTGTGAAGACAAAGCGCCCCATTGACATTGATTATCCGCATCACCGTAGCATCGCAAGCAGCGTCGCGTTGCAAGCGGCACACGCACGCCCCGGGCCGCCGCGCGCCGGGACGCCAACGGTCCATCGATCTCACCATGGATCTCATTTTTGATCTCCGTATCAATCTCACGATCTCTCTCAGTATCGATCTCACTCTCAATCCTACGATCGATTTCGATGTCACTCTCGATCCCACTATCGATCTCACTGTGGGTCTCACTGTCGATCGCACGACCGATGTCACCACAGGACGCCGACGGGATAGGACACTGGCGCGACACAGGCGCACCACGGACACGCGGGGGTTGGAGGGGCGGCCGCCAGGCTCAATGCGAACGGGGGTCAGCAAGAGCGCTGGATCTCGCAGGATCCTGCAGGGCCATGGCCGCACTGACCCGGGCTTGGGTGCAGGATCTTGCAGGATCCTCCGCATTGACCCGGGTTTGTGCGCAGGGTCTTGCAGGATCTGCAAGGCCGGACTGACCCTGTTTTGGATCGACCCGGGTCCGAAGATCCCCGACCCCGGCAGCGCCATTCCTCTCGCGCGATTTCACGCAGTTTCGCCTCGCCCGCACGACACGAGCACGAAGCCGAAGCCGGAACCGATTACCTGGTCGGGGGCCCCTCCGTTCCACTTGCGGTCTCCCCCCAGCCTCCGATGCTGCAAAATGGTTGTACTAGATGGTCGGGTCGCACGCACGTCTGCAAGGAGGACTCATGCGCGACAAAAGAACGGGGTCGTCTGCGCCGACATTCGCGCGTGAGCTTGCGGCGTATGCTCGCGCGTGAGCGCCCTAGCCTCCAATGTGGCGTGCCGCGCTGGCGGACCGCGTACGCCGCCGCGTAAGGTCACTACGTCATCTCGCGTAAGACCCGTTTTTGAACGTCGCTCACGTGGTGCCAGCGTGTCCTCTCTTGCGCCCCGTTGGAGCTCCGGAGCAGCGGAACACGGCATACACTCTCTTTGTCGACGGTCCGCGCGGATGTCTTGGGTCGGCGCTGGGCCCCCGGATGCACGCGCCTCGGGCGCCGCCCGTGGCGCGCTCCGCGCGCCTGGGGGGGTGGTCGCCTAGCGCCGGTCCGAGAAGTTCGCGCGGGCCTCGGGGAGTCGGGGTCCTCGCGCGCGTCCCAGCTCACGAGGCCGGAGGTGCGGCAAGGCGGCGCCCCCGCCGAGAGGGTCTGGCGCGCGGCAAGGGGGGGGGGCCTAAGTTCAAGTCGGGCCTGTCCCTCCACAGGAGGAATATCCAAAAATAGTCGAACAATCGACTGGGGACGATTATCCGATTTCTTCAAGGGGGCACTTCTGTTGGTATGGTTCAATTTTCGTCCAAACTCGGCCTACAGGAATACGTGCTCCACCTGAACCGAAGTGGGGGGTGCCAAGAAAAGGGCCCAAGAGAGGCCCTGCGCGCGGTGGGGGCGGCGCGGCGCGCCGCAGGCGGGCCAGCTGAAGTTCCACTCCCTCCGCATCACCGCCAAGACGCCGGGCGCGTGGGCTGAGGAGCGCGAGCCCTCCTCCTCCCCTCCTTCCCCCTTCCCTCCAAGTCTCCGTCTTTCCCCCCCCATTCCCCCCCCGCCTCCCCCTCTCCTCCTTCTCCTCCTCCTCCTCCTCCTTCTCCTCCTCCTCCTCCTTCTCCCCCCCGCCTCCTCTCCCGTCTCCCTCCTCTCTCCCTCCTCCTTCCTCCTTGTCTCCTCGCCTCCTCTCCTCCTCCCGTCCTCCTCCTTGCCTCCACCTTGCCTCCATCCTCTCCTCCTTTTCGCGTCTCCTCCTCTTCGGCAACCGTTGCGGCAGGCTCGCGATGCGAGCACGGGTCAGATGGATTCTTCTTTCCCGTGCGATATCGGCCAATTCCTGTGGGGGGGGTAGCTCGCGAGCAGAACACGGGCCATGCGGGCGTTCCCGCGGGGGGGGGGGGCGAGGTCGGACGGGGCTAGGACCAGGACGAGGATCGATCCATTCCAGAGAGTCCCAGAAAGCTGTCAGAGCGTTTTGGGACGCTCTGAGGAGGACGCGGCGCCCGATGCATCCTCCAGAGCCGCCGGATCTCAGAGATTCTCGATTCATCCTCACCCGATGTTGCCCTCTCCCGGCTTCGTCTTGGGAGTGGGGGCCAGCGCTTGAGTCGCACGTCGCGCCGGCGCCGTCTGTGGATGTCTCGGAAGAGCCGAGGACAGCTCGAAGGTCAGCACGCGTCGTGGCGCTACCTGGGGTGTTGGGCGGGGGCGGCCGCGGCTGGACACGGCCCGGATCGCGGAAGACGAGGCAGCGCTTGTCGCTGCGCTCCTGGAGGAGAGGGGGCAGGATCGGGCACGCGCGCTGGCGTGGATGAGGACTCTGCGGATCTGGCGCGCGAGCGCCAGATTTGTGTCGGGCTTGTCCCCCTACAGGGGGATCTTCGGCGAAAAATGGAAAATACGCAAGAAATGCCCCAATATATATTTATATATATATATATGAATATATGAATATATATGTATATATATATATATATGAGCATAGATATAGATATACATATACGTATTTATATAGATATACATATACATATTTATTTATTTATATATATATATATAAACAGTACTCAAGACATAGTCCCCAGACTATTTGGGGAGTATTTTTTTGACTATTTCTTTTGTTTTTGGTATTTGCTATTTTTCGTCGAAAATCCCCCTGTAGGGGGGACACGCCCGACTTCACGCCAGATGCAGGGATCCCGGGAGGGTGCCCCCGAAGCAGGGTGCCCATTGCCGCCGGACCCGGCGACGGAGCGTGCCGGCCTTTGTGCGGAGGCGGGGCCCGTCGTCCAGCCACGCTGCCGTGGTCCGTGCCTGCGCCTCCTCAAAGGAAGCACGACCACGAGCACGACGTGCGAGCGCGCACGTCGTGCTCGTGGTCGTGCTCTTACGCGGCTCTTTTGTGCGTCATCTTTTTTCCCCGACCTTCCGGGCGGGTTCCCGTTTAATGCCCCCCTGGGGGGACTGGGGGGGGGCCTGGGGGCCCCTCCCGCCCGCGGGGGGGGCGCCGGCGGAAGCCGGCGGAAGACGGCCTCATTTCGGCAGACACGATTCTGCGCGGTACGGGAGAGCCTGGAGGGATGCTCAAAATCGAAAAATGACCGAAAGTGATAGAAACATGATCAGATATGATCAACACATGATCGAGCATGATCGAAAATGATAGAGCAAATGCTCGAACAAATGATCGAAACATGATTGGAACAATGATCGAAAAATGGACATGCCCGACTCAACGCCAGAGGCCAGCGTCCCGAGCCTTTGGACGCCCGAAATGGGTACGGAAAGAATGGAGCAGCAGTTCCTGCTCATTTTGAAAAGGGTTCGCTGTCCACGCCGCCGCGGCCTTTTGGTTTGGGACAACATCGGTTGTTGGGCATTGTACCCATTTTTTCCGTACCCATTTCGGGCGTCCAAGATGCGAGGTATCAGTGGCACGCGAGTCGTTTTCGCAGATCGCGCGCGTTGCTGCCTCGTTTGTTGCTCACCGGCCTGGTGCGTCTTCCACAGGAACAGTAAGTCGGGCGTGTCCCCCTACAGACGGGTCTTGAACGGAGAATTTAAGATATTCAAAACATATTCCAAAATAGTCTAGAACAGTAGAACAATCGTCCCCAGACTATTTCTGATGATTGAATCTTCCTCCTGTAGAGGGACGGGCCGGACTTAACAGTAATACGCTGATGGGGTCGTCCGATCGGCGTGGAAGTGGTACTGTTTTTGCTTTCCGACGGAGGAGGCATGGGGGTCGTGGAGGCGGGGAGGGGAGGGTTGGGGGCTCGGTGGAGACGAGGGAGATGATTTGGTTGAGAAAAGAGAAAGCCATCATACTTCTTGCCTGTTTACTTGCGGGCACCTCGCCCCCCCCCGCCCCCTCCCGTTCCCCTCCGCCGCCATGACAAGCAGCGCTGGGCCGAAAGGGTGTGCAAGGGAGTCACGACTTGCGTGGGGTCTAGAGTTCCACTCGGTCCTCGCCACGCCCCCCCTCGCCCTCCCCCTCCATCCAAGCCAACTTGCCGGAGGAAGACCATCAAACTACCCAGATTTGTGGATCAGAGAGCCGTGACCAGACCGAAGACGCACGGCGGGGGGGGCAGGCGTGGTTGGGAATTGTTGACGCTTCGCGAATCCCCACCAGCCGTGGTCGAGCTCTCAGGATGCCCCCCGCCGTCAGCTCCCCTTCAGCTTCGCGGCTGCTTTGTGAGTGGGCCGGCCGGCCTATGCCTGTTGTAGCTAATTAGCCTCGTTCGCGCCCCGGACTTTGCTTTCGCCGCCTGCCTCTTCGCTCGCGGCCGCGACCGAAAAAGAATCCCCACCAGCCCATCCAGAAACGATGCCCAGAGGAATTGCCTCAATCAGGGAAGCGGGCAGCACACAGGAAGGGTCCCCCAGTGGAGGCTTGTTGGAGCGTCTTGGGGGCCTCTTGGCGGTCCTGGACGCCTCTTAGATAGAGCGTCTTGGGTGCCTCGGAGAGCTTCTTGGGGCCTCTTGGGGGTCTCTTGGGAGCCTATTGGAGGCCTCTTGGGCGCCTGTTGGGGCCTCCTGGGGCCTCCTGGGCGCCTCTTGGGACCCGCTTGAAGCGCTCTTTGGGAGCCTTGGGAGCGCTCTTGGAGCCCTCTTGGGCCATCTTGGAGCCATCTGGAGGCCTCGGCGAGAAAGCCAAACACATTGATTGTCCTAAGGTTTTGGGAGGGTTTGGGCCTCTTCGGTGCCTCCTAGGGGAGCTCTTTGGCAACTCGGAGCCGTCTTGGAGCGGTCTTGGGGCATCTTAGAGCATCATGGGCGCGCGCCATCTTGAGACATCTTGGGATATCTTGAACCATCTTGGAGATCATCTTTGGCTCTCCCAGGCGCTCTTGGGGTCATCTGAAGCAGTACCCCTCCCCCCAGGAGGCCAACATGTGGCCAAAACCTTAGTAAAGTCAGCGATTTTGGCGTTGTCGCCGAGGCCTCTTGGAGCGTCTTGGGTGCCTCTGGGGTGCCTCTGGGGGCCTCTCGGAGGTCTCCTGGAGGTCTCCTGGGAGCCTCTTGGGGGCATCCTGGGTGCCTCTAGGGGGCCTCTTGGGGCCTCCTGGCCACCTCTTGGGGCCCTCTTGGGACACCCTTGGGAGCCTTGGGAGCGCTCTTGGGGTCATCTCGGAGGAGATCGATCAAAGAAGGGTGGGTTACGTTACGGATTACAGTCGCCCCCTCAGAAGGCCAAAATGGTGCCAGCACCCTAGTAAAATCAATGATTTTGGCCTTCTCGCCGAGGCCGTTTTGGACGCTCCGACGACTCGCGACCCAGGTCCAGGGGAGGGGGTAGGGGGAGGGGTAAGCCCCTCCTCGAAGGGGAAGAAGGAGGGGTGGAAGAGGAAACGCCCTAAACCACCGACGCCCAGAGGGCTAGTGGGAATCCCCCCAGCGGTAATCCCCCAGTGGAAACCCCAACCGCCCCACCCCCCCTTCGAGGAACAAAGTCAGCGGCCCCATCGCGAGCCTTCCAGGTCGACCGCAGCTAGTGCCCAAGAAGGGGCTGATGTCGAACGATGCGCACGACGCTGCCTGTTGCTGAAGGCTCCGCCCTGTGGAATTTAGGGAAACCTGCGCGCGGGTCGTCACGATACGAATTTGTCACACGGCATGTTCGCGCCGCCTCGATGCAGCAGCAACGCCGGCGCAGGCATTCAGTAGTGAGCACTCGAGCCCCAGGACTCACGTGCACGCGCCCATTGTGAGCGCCCACATGTACGCAGATGTTGGCAAGTTTGCCTGCATGGTACTTGTCCTTCCTCGCTCCTCCGCCAGTTCAGACAGCGCTGGACCGAAAAGGCGTGCAAGTAAGTACCGACTCGACCGTTTCGGGGGCACTTTATTCTTCTCGCCCAGATTGAGGGGATGTCTTGAGCGGTTTGCCTGTTTGGGGGGCTTGGACTTTTGTGATTTTAGGGCAGATTGTGAGAATTTTTCGGGCGAGGCGCTGGTTTCAGCACTCCCAAGGGGAAACCGCCATGACATTTTCACGGGCCCGTTCGCGCCCAGTTTGTGGGGATGTCTCGACCGTCTGTTCTCTGGAGGCCCGGGCTTGCGTGCTTTCAGCACAGATTGTGAGGATGCCTCGAGCGAGGCGCTGCTTTCAGAGCAGAGCGCAGGGAAGTGCGAGGCATTGGCAGGAGGAGGAGGAGGAGGAGGAGGAGGAGGAGGAAGACGGATGAGGGGGTGGGGTGATGGAGCTGGGTGTGGGCGTGGGCGTTGGTGTTGTGTGTGTGTGTGTGGGTGTGGGTGTGGGTGTGGGTGTGGGTGTGGGTGTGGGTGTGGGTGTGGGTGTGGGTGTGGGTGTGTGTGTGGGTGTGTGTGTGTGTGTGTGTGTGTGGGCGTGGGCGTGGGTGTGGGTGTGGGCGTCGGCGCTGCCAGCCGCTGCCGCCGCCGCCGTCGGCGCCAGCGGCCGGGGCTGGTGAGGGGGCGGTGTTCGAACCCCCCCCCCATGCGCGGAGGGGGTGAGGGGGTGGGTGGGCGGTGGGTTTTGAAGCACCCCCCCCCCCCGGCGTGGGTGGGGTTCGGGGCGGGGGAGGGGAGTCCCCGTGGTTCTGTTCGACGGCGCCGAATGTTGGGGGGTGTAGGGAGGTGGGCCTCGTTCAAGCGTGCCGCCAGATGTTCCCAAGGCAAGCGCCCGTGAAACGCCCCCTCCTTTTGCCCGTCCCCCCGAGAGGACCAGACGGCGCTCCTCGTACCCAAGTGCATGCACTGGTCGTCATCGCCGCCGTCGTCGTCGCCGTCGTCGTCGTCGTCGTCGTCGTCGTCGTCGTCGTCGTCGTCATCGTCGTCTTTCGCCGTCGTCGTCGTTCGCCTCTCCCCCGAGAGGACCAGACGGCGCCCGCCGCGCCCAAGTGCACCGGCAGGGGCGACGGCCGCGGGCCCACGGACGCCTCGGCGCTGTGACGGCGCCCGCGGGGCCCGGGTGGCCGCCTCGGCGAGCTCGAGAAAAGTCGGCTGGGGTCCTGCGGCGGATGTCGGCGGCTGCGGCCACACCTCGAAGAAGCAAAAGCACTATAAAACATGGATGTTGTTTGTGCTCCGCGCAGGTTTCTTGGATCCGCACTGGGCGCCCCGAAGCGCGCTCCGCGCGCCAGGGAGGGGGCTCCAGCGCGGACCCAAGAAATCTGCACGGAGCGCCAACAGTTAATTTTTATAGCATTTCTTCTCCTTCTTCATCTTCTTCTTTTTCTTCTTCTTCTTCTCCTACCAGCTGGATCGACCCCGCGTCGGCGAGTTGCTGAGGGCCAGGCCTCCCAGATGGGGTTCGAGGCGTTTTTTGTGTTGCCGCTTTCTGTCTCCATTAGCCGTTTCCGGGCCCCGTGGCGGTGAAAAGCAGGCCGGGGCTGGAACATTGCACCAAAAAGGAGCCCGGGAGGGGTCGGATGATCCCCTGGCCGCCTCCATGAGTAACTAGAGAGATGGGGTCGTAGGATTGCGCCGATGTTCTTCACACCGACGGCGCCGGTGCTTCGTCGACGTCGCCGATACATTGGCGATGCGGCGCGTTCCTCCGACCCCATTTGCTCGAAGCCCACTTGGCAGGCCTCTAGGACAGGGGACCCCCGACGAATATTCCCCAAACAGTGCTTGAACATGGGGTTTATTACTGGCGCTTCTCAGGAATGGGATGTGTGTCCTGAGGATTCGCCACGTTCTGGCTCGTTGCCCCGCCTCGTTGCCGCCCGTTGCCACCTGTGGGGGTGTCCCGGGGATTCGCCGAGTTCCGGCCCGTTACCACCCGCTGTTGGTCGTTGTCGCCTGTGGGGGTTTCCCGAGGATGCAGTCGGGCTCTTCGAGAAACGTTCGCAGATAGGTTTGTGTCGGGTGTTGCTAGCAGTGCCCTTGGGCCAAGGTGCTCCCAGGATTTCCAGGGTAGCCCAAACGGCCTCCAAAGCACCCCGTCACGAGGCCAAGAGGGCCCCAGAGGCTCCAAAATGGAGCGAAAAGCTGGGGGCATCTCGGGCCAGGGGTACTTCGTTATCGGAGATCTTAGCACGCCTCTGGCCCGTTGGGCCGGCGACTTCAGATATTGGCTAGGCCACTCGCATGACGTTTCCTCGCCCACCCTCGGCCCCTCGGCCGCCATTTCAACCAGAGTGTCTGTCGGGCCTCGCCAGGCTCCCCCTCCCCACGCAGACGACCCTGCCGGAGCCCGCAGGACACCCTGGGATCCGACGCTGCGGAGCAGCTGAGACAAGACCCACAGTCACGACTGGACCCCCGGACCCGATCTAAAATTTTTCGAGCGGGATCGATCTGTCAGGCCTTCGAGGGCGGACCCCTCGTCGATCGCAGCCGTCCGGCGCTCGCGCCGAGGACCGCCGGGGGCCTCCATGAGGCCGCGGGGCACCGCCGAAGACCGAGCGGAGGGCCGCCCGGAGGGCCGCCCGGAGGCCGCCCGGAGGCCGCCCGAAGACCGCAGACGGCCAAGGGGATGACGAGCGATCAACACGCACCCATACCCATATGGGGGGACGGAATGAGCTATGGGTGCGTGTCGTCGGATGGGGGTCCCCGCTCGAACGGGAGCCGTCCCAGGGGTCCAACAACCCGCGCCCATACCCATATCGGAGGGCACCAACTATACACCAACACCGATCCTGGCCCAGGATCACCCTGGGCCCATGATCGGTGTATATGCCTTCTTGCCCAAGGCAGGAGGGCGTATACACCGATCCTGGGCCCAGGATGATCCTGGCCAGGATCGGTGTTGGTGTATAGTTGGTGCCTTCCTACCCTATGGGCATGGGTGTGTGTTGTTCGCTCGTCGGGGGAAGGGGGTCACGAGGGGCCCGTGGCCGGACGCCTAGGAGGAAGTCGGGCCTGCCCCTTTGCAGGAGGAATTACCAAAAATCGTAAAAGCAAATAGTGGGGACGATTTTTCGAGTATTTTGTTGGCAGCTTTTGGGGGGACGAAAAAGTGGCATAAACATAAAAACTCGGAGGTCTGCGCGGATTTCTCGGATCGGCGCTGGACCCCCCTCCCTGGCGCGCGGAGCGCGCCAGGGGCGGCGCCAGAGGCGCCGCCGTGGGGCCCCAGCGCCGATCCGAGAAATCCGCGCGGACCTCGAAGTTTTTATGTTTATGTCACTTTTTGTTCCCCAATTTTTGGAGTATTTGTTCACTATTTCTGATGTGTCCTCGAACATTCCCCTGTAGGGGGACGGGCCCGACGTAGGCCTATAGGACCTGTGCAAGTGCCGCGGCCGCCGAAGGCTCCCGGCGAGCAGGCACGTCGTGGGCACTATTTCTGAGATGTCCTCGAGAATCCCCCTGTAGGGGGGCAGGCCCGACGTGAGCCTATAGGACCTGTGCACGTTCCGGGGCCGCCCGGCTCCCGGCGAGCACGCACGTCGTGAGACAGAAGCGCAGCGCCCATGGGCGCACGCCAGAGGTCAGGAGAGGAGCAGACACACATGCACAAACAACCAGGGCGCCCTCGAGGGCGCGAAGTTCTTCGCGCTTCGTGGTTCGGCTCCGATTCCTCCTCATCCTCCTCTTCTCCCTTGGGAGGCGGCGCGAGTGCGCGAAGCTATTCGCACTTCGCGCAGCGCGAAGCGCGAAGTTGGGAGCCCTTGAAACAATCGTCGATCCCCCGTGACGAATGGAACGGATATGGTATATGGGATAAGTGGGGGGGAGAAGACGAACACCCAGAACGCAGGAGAAGCTGTGGTGAATCCTGGGATTTGTGTGCGTTGATTTGTGTGTCCCTGGGCCCCTTCAAGAACGAGTGCCCCCCGTCGTGGGGGGGGAAGACGAAGACCCAGAAACTGTAGGGAATCCTGGGATTCGTGTGCATTGATTTGTGTGTGTGTGTGTGGGTTTGTCCTTGGGCACCTTCAAGAAGTAGTGCCCCCCCCGTCGGGGGGGGGGAGGGAAGACGAGCACCCGGAAAAATAAATACGTGCGAGAAACCAGGGGGGCATTTTGGGCTCTGCGCGTGCTGAGTTGTGTGGCCCTGGGCCCCTGCAAGCAGGACTGCCCCCCTTCGCAGCAGGCCTGCCCCCCCCCGCCGCGGGGGGGGCCCCCCTCCCCTCCCCCGCGAAGGAGGAGAGGAGAGGAGGAGGAGAGGAGGAGGAGGAGGAGAGAGGAGGAGAAGGAGGAGGAGGAGGAGGAGGAGGGGGGGGAGAAGGAGGAGGAGGAGGAGGGGGGTAACGCGGGCTCCGCTCGCGGCCGCTGCCCCGCCAGGACGGGGACGACCTAGCCGGCGACGGCCGCTACTGGCCGGCTTCCGCGTGGCGGGGGGCCGCGGGCACGGCGGCGGCGGCGGCCATTCAGGAGGGGAAAAGACACACAGACACCATTGATCGTCGATCCCCCAGGAAATATGGGAAAATATGGGAAGTGGGGGGGAAGACAGAAACCCAGAAAATATGGGGAAAATATGGGAAGTGGGGGGGAGACAGGAAACCCAGAAAATATAGGAAAAAATTGGGAATCTGGTTACTTGTGTATGTTGATTTGTGTGTCCCAGTTCCCCTTCAGCCATGCGAGCACTCCAAGTCCCTTATTACTCGACCGCCCCCTAAAAACCGGACCCCTCTCCAAATGCGACCTGATATTAGGGACCGCCCTCTTCGACGGGGCGCCTTGATACACTGGACCCCCGGAGCTCCAATCCAGAGAAAGTGCCCTATAGTAAACCAACCCCCCCCAGTCACAAAAAAGGCGCCTTCAAAAACCGGACCCGGGGGACGATTAATAAGGGATTTGGAGTACGGCGGAGACCCATGCCAAGAACCAGGCGATCGCAAACATGGATCCAGGGGGGCGTGGATTAGCGACGGGTCCCGTTGCCATAGGAAATCGCGGAGTTCCGCCGCCGAGCGGGGCGGCACCGGCCGCATTTTGGGAAGGGCACCTCCCCCGATCTATGAATGTAGCGATCTTTGGATCGTTAATCCATGCTTGCGCGCCCCCGAAAGAAACACCCTGCTGCTTCTCAGAAGGCGCTGTCCTTAACATCTCAAGAGCGAAGGCCCGCGCCTCCTGAGAAGCATGGGTCCTCAGAAGCCTGCCCCCCTCCTCCTACCCCCCTTTGCGCAGGGCAGGTGTATGCTTATGGCTCCTTGTCTTCTTCGGAGAATGCTCGTATCTATACAAGTCATTTACGCATGTCTCGTGGCTGCCACGAACAAATCAGTTTTGGGGTAAACCAAATCTGTGGAGGCCCGACCACAAAAAACCTTCCACAGGAAACCCAACCCTGAGACCTCAGGGCGTCCATGGATTTCTGGTGCGAGAACGTCGCGCCAGAGCGAGGGAGGCGCCGAGAATTGATTTACCCTAAAGTTGATTTGTTCGTCGACTACATATTCATTTAGTCGCCTAAGCTGTGAGAAATGCGTAGAAGGCTTCGCAGATCCACGAACATTCTACGCATGACTCGGCGAGAGATGCCATTTGGGGGCAAAGCAATTCTGCAGTCGATGCCCTCCACGAGAACTGCGAAGAAGGTTAGTAGATCTTCGATCATTCTACGCCTGCCTCGGCGAGAAAACCCATCTTGGGGCAAATCTATTATGTAGTCGATGCCCTACTCGAACCATGGCGGCGATGACGACGGCGGCGACGGCGTCGGCGGCGGCGGCCACAACTCAGGAGATCGACCGCGGCGACGACGGCGGCTGCGGCCACAACCCAGAGATCCTGAGTGTCACCTTGTATAATTGCCTCCCCTGCCTCCCCTCTCTCGTCCTCCTTCCTCGCAAGGTCGGCCCCCGGACCTGTCCTGGGTTGCGTTCCGGCGAAAATTTCAAAGAGAACCCGGGCTTAGTGACAAAGGGACATCCCAGTGCCCACCAGGGCCCATCTCGATGCGGTCGGTTAAAGGATCCCGTTCGACATCCTTTCCGACAGGCCCGATTTGTTTTTGTTCCGACTTTTGGACGATAATGTGCGGCCCGATACTTGCCTGGCGCCGACGTGCATCCTAAAGTTCCGATCCGATTATATTCCGACTCCATGCCGATGCAGCCCCATTCGGTGTTGCTTGATCTTTCAAGGGAGG